CCCAAAGTATCAACTAATCTTAAAAACCAACCTTGAACCAATCAAATACTAACCAAGAGAAAAGTCAGTCTATAACATTATTTCAACTAGGCCTCTGTAGTAAGAAAGTAGTGAAGGAAAGCAGTCAGAAGAAAATAAAGTCAGAGAACTGAGAAGAAACCTGAATGTTTTAAACCTAAAAGTTAACCTTAGTAGTTAACTGCTAATACCTGACCGAATCCATCCTTCAAACTGTACATGTCAAATTACCACTGAGCTAGCAAAAGGACCTCCAGTATTTCCATCAAAGTCTCTTATACTTGCATTTCTCTCTAGTAGGGGTTTAAGGTCCACCAATTTAACTCTGAACTGCATCCAGTACTAGAGTAAGGATTAAAAAAAAAAAAAAAAACTTAATTGCAGAACTTATTAAAAATGCAATTCTAATATACAGAATCTACGAGAAACAAACAAATTTACAACTCCCCATCAAAAAGTGGGCAAAGGATATAAACAGACACTTCTCAAAAGAAGACATTTATGTGGCCAAGAAATACGAAAAAAAAGGTCATCATCATTGGTCATCAGAGAAATACAAATCAAAACCACAATGAGATACCATCTTGTGCCAGTGAGAATGACAATTATTTTAAAAGTCAGCAAACAACAGATGCTGGCGAGACTGTGGAGAAACAGGAACGCTTTTACACTACTGGTGGGAGGGTAAATTAGTTCAATCATTGTGGAAGACAGTGTGGCGATTTCTCAAGGATCTAGAACCAGAAATAACATTTGACCCAGCAATCCCATTACTGGGTATATATCCAAAGGACTATAAATCATTCTACTCTAAAGATACATGCACACATATGTTTATTGCAGCACTATTTACAATAGCAAAGACTTGGAACCAACTGAAATGCCCATCAATGGTAGACTAGATCACAAAAATGTGGCACATATACTCCATGGAATACTATGCAGCCATAAAAAAAATGAGTTTAAGCCCTTTGCAGGGACATGGATGAAGCTTAAAGCCATCATTCTCAGCAAACTAACACAGGAACAGAAAACCAAACCATGTTCTCACTCATAAGTGGGAGTTAAACAATGCGAATACATGGACACAGAGTGGGAAACATCACACACCGGGGCCTGTCAGGGGGTTGGGGGCAAGGGGAGGGAGAGCATCAGGACAAACACCTAATGCATCCAGAGTTTAAAACATAGATGATGGGTTGATAAATGCAGCAAACCACCATGGCACATTTATAACTATGTAACAAACCTGCATGTTCTGCTCATATATCCCAGAACTTAAAGTAAAAATTTTTAAAAAATTTAAAAATACAATTCTAAAACTTCATGCTACCACAAATTATGAGCCCAGAGAAGTGTTTTTATAAAGTAGTACAGATGATTCCTACGCAAACTCAAGCTTGAAAACTAGTATATTAACCCACTTTAAAAACTCAGTTGAAGTCACCTACTACAGCAGTCCCCAACCTTTTTGGCGTCAGGAATCAGTTTCATGGAAGACAAATTTTTTCACACATGGTGGGGGCAGTGTGGAGGGAGGATGGTTTCGGGATGAAATTGTTCCACCTCAGATCATCAGGCATTAGATTCTCATAAGGGTCATCCAACCCATATCCCTCGCATTAGATTCTCATAAGGGTCATCCAACCCATATCCCTCGCATGCACAGTTCACAACAGGGTTTGCGCTCCTATGAGAATATCACGCTACCACTGATCTGACAGGAGATGGACCTCAGGCATTAATACTCACTTGCCCACCACTCACCTCCTGCTGTGCAGCCCAGTTCCTAACAGGCCATGGACCAGTAGGAGTCCACAGTCCCAGGGGTTGGGAACCTGTGACCTACTACGTGACCCAACCTGCTCTCAGTTAGAATTTATTTCCGCTGTACTCTTTGAGACTATTATATGTGTTTCTCTTATAGCATTTACTACACTCTTCCCAACACTCCCCTCCACTACCCTCAAAAAGAAAACTTCTCATTAAATCCACTTGATTATGGCAAAGGTTTACAACCTCCCCACGGCCCCCTCTCCCACACCTGCCCACAAACCATTGTTCAATTCCAGCAGTAAGTTACTACAGGATGATACACAAATGCAAGCCATGATATCTGCAATTCCAGGAGCTAGCTCTAATCTACCTATCTCCCACAAATTAGCTTGAATGGTAGAAAGATTTCTATTTGATCAAAGTTGGTCTGTAATTTTCAAAAAGGAAAGTGCAATAGAGCAAATGGCTTTATTCCATTAGGAAATTTCCCATAGACTTGTCTTCACAACTTGAAAGCATAAAAATTAAGCGTGGGTTCAGTATTTTGTCTGTATCATAATCCTATTCTCCTGTATTCATAATACAAAAACCTTGTTATAGACACAGGTATCCATTGAGTTTTGGTTTACATAATGTGTCAGAGAATGAGAGCACAGAATTAGTTTATCATTAATTAAAACAAGAATTAAATCAAAACATTCCAAGAGTTGCGTTCCATTCTGGAGCAGTATTTAAGATAGTAGTGAAAGACTTGGCCAAACACATATAGATTCCAAGTATTATCTATGTGACTTATGAAAAAAATGAAAAAGAGAATGATAAAGGAAATCAAACTTAAACCAAAATGGCATGGAAACAAAACAGTGGAAATCAGACTTTTATTTAATCTGAAACACATAACTATCCTGAAAAATGTTCTGAGTAGTCACGGAATCACAAATGTAAGAAGGTGCTTTAGTACCCATCAAGTCCCACTTCTCTTATCTGGGAGGAATTTGGAACTCTTATCAAAATTGAGTGACTTTTCCAAATCTATATAACTAACAATGAGCAGAATCTGGGTCCTCTGGGTTCAATACTAATGTTCTTTCCGTAATATCATTAGGCCACAGCAATGCAAAACAAGTTCTGATTTCAACGAGCTGAATCCTCAATAAATTCAGCCCATGTTCACTTCATTTAATGGTTAAACTCTTTCTTTTGAAAAATTCCAAGCATTAACCACACTTGCATATACAGACATTATCAATTTCATAGCTGGGAAAGATAAAACTCAGCCAAGATAATTAACTCAGAAATATAAGCAATTCCAGAAGGAAGAGAGCCAACTAGTTAGCTCTAAAATGGCATTCAGAAAAACAGCGTAAGATTACATTAGTTCCAAACATTAACTACCTCTTCTGAACTGACAGGATAAGAAGGGTTCTACTTCTAGTATTCCAAAACACTGAGAACAAGCTCACATTCAGCTTTTCTGTGACTACGATGAGTTTAAGTATTTTAATTATACTTTATCTTCAACTTTTCAGACCAAAAAGTCAAAAGTTAATCTAAAATTTTAAAAATGAAAATATGAGTTTTAGTCCAGACTGCCAAACTACTGTTGCTTTAGATAAATCACTGTCAATTTCTAGACTCCAGATTCTTTCTTCTGTAAAACTGGGGATGGAAGAGTGATTACTAGGCTTTGGTTCCTCCCAGTTCTGTGTTCCCTATCCTTGTCTGATTTCACTGATACAAAAGAAAAACAACTCAATAAAAACCATATTATCCACTGAGGTAAAAAAAAAAAAAACAAAAAAAACAAAACAAAACAAAAAAAAAACAAAAAACAAAAACCACTTTAAAGAGATAGGTTATCTGTTAAAGTGGACCAGGAACTACATTATTTTGAAGATCTTTGTTCTACACTCTGTTAAGTTTCTAAGTCATTCAAAAGCCAATCACCACACACAATAACGTTCGTTGGCAATATTTGGCCCTGAAAATACACAGCAAACTGAAGTTAAATTCCAGGACAGACGCCTCTGCAGGTGAGGGTCTGAAATCTTGTATACAGTGAAGAAAATGACAATAATGAACTTCACCAGAGCCCTGTGATCTTGGAAAAACTGCAAAGGGTAAGAAACCCCTTGCCCCTGTATGTGTTCTGAGAAATTGGCTTGCTGCAAAGAATCACCTTTCCTGTAGAACTCAGATAAGCCTAAGGGTCGATCCATACCCCCCTTACCCCTTGTTTACCTAAAACAAGGCCATAACCAGACCCTTCTAATTCCCATCCTTTGCTCCGTAAATGACTTGCTGAAGTACCTGTCCCACAGATCAATCGGAACAAAGTACTTCTTAGCCAAACTTCAAGATTCTCTTCCGTGGGGTACCTGAATTTTGTCCTTCCCCAGTCTGAAACAACATATACAAACCTCTCTTAACAGCTCCTCCTCAGAATAGATGGGCTCAGGGTAAAACATTATCTGGTTACTGTCGGATCATACCCACCTTTTCACCCAATTCCTGACGTCTTATTTACCCCTCCCTATAAAAGACAAACCCTTTCTGCCTAATCTTTAAGGGGCATGCAAATCTTATGGTCCTTCTCCCTACTGCAACAGTTCCTTCAACCTCCTCCACACCCTTGCAATATTCCTTTCGAATAAAGTCTGTCCTTACTAATTCGGGTTTTCTATTTGACACCCTTTTCAATTATGAAATGGCTAAGTGTAAAGAATAAGGGGACTGCCGTTTCTTTAAATGACAGGTGTTGATCCTGTACAAGAAGGAGACCCGTTGTGTCCACCTGGAGAGGCTAAACGCATTTCTAAGATCCGAAGTTCTTGGCCACTGTTCTGCGGCTGGGGAAGGGGGCGTAGGAGAGGTGATTGACCCGGCAAGGTCAACTCTGGGATCACCTGGCGCCACAGGCCATACACAGTAAATGGGCCATTAACAGGCAGGCTACCCAGTCCATACTCCCTGACAGATACGCCCCTACCTCCGGCCCGCTAGTTTCCCAGCCAGGCAGGCGTAACGCTGCTTCCTCAGGGGCTCAGACACTCTAGGACAGGTGGTGGGTCCTGCCCAGCAGCTCATCCCAACGTCTCAACTCACTCCATTCTGAGCAGAGCACCTGATGGCTCTTTTTACAGGACTGACCTCCCCACCCTTTTCGCCCCACCGTTGTCACTCCTGCTCTCACAGAAGAACTCACCATGGCGCCTAGGATAGGTCGTGGACCAGACACCCCGGAGTCCCCGGGACAGTCCCAAACCTCTCACCTCCCGGTCCTTGAGCCGGGAGCCTCTCAAACAGCGAAAGAGAGGGTCTTCCGGCTCTGCCGGAAGTTGTGCGCGCGCGGGACAGGAAGTTCCTCCCTTCTCCAGAGCGCCGTCGACCCCACGCCACGCAGAGGTGAAGATACGCAGGACGTCCTCTAAAGCAACTTCCGTGGGTGCCAGGTTATGGGCTGGGGGCGGTGCTGACCTTGAGAGCGCGGAGGAGGCGCAGGCGCAGCACAGGTACGTCGGCGGGCGGAGCGCAGTGGCTGCGCTTGCGAGGACCCTGAGGTAGGTTGGGTGGTTTCAGCAGGAACGCATCCACTGTCTGAGAGGTGACGGAGGCACACGTTGGTGTGGGGAGCGGGAGAGGGGCGGGAGGGGTCCGGGATTGGGAGTGAGGGTGCGCGAAGGGAGTCGACTCCAGACCCAGGTGATTTAGAGTGTCAAGACCGCGTTTGGCCGTCGTTTTGTCTCAGCTTAACTGACGCCCTCTTTTTACCCTCTAGCTTTCCCGACTCGGTCCCTTATTAGCATATCCTCATTTCCGCAGACCTGCCCCTCAGTTGCTTCTGTTCCCTGCTTTAGTGGGTACCGTAGCTCTCCCTCCCTCAGGGCAATGGAATCTCATAGTGAGAAGTTTCTTCACTATTCACAGGTGGCAATTGAAGTCGGAAGAACATCTACCAAGAGCAGAGAAACCAGGAAGAAAATTCTGCCTGTTTAATACGTTCCAATATGGACGTTTTCCATATAGGTATCTGTCTGTATCTGTGATCTATATCTATGATATAGACAGATATGTATCGATATATCGGGGTTCTCAGCCATCCAAAAGAAGCATGCACAGGGCCAGTTGCTTTATGTCAGGAAAGGGGATACAGACTGAATGTATGAGGGGTTTTCTTTTTCTATCTGATATATATCTATATCAGATGCAAATAAGTGAAACTCTCATACACCTTTTAATTTTGTGTTTTTCCCAAACTCTATTCCAGTCAACTTTTTCTGCCTTTTTATTTGATTATAATGAGACGTCGTCCTGGAGGCAGGCTTGAAATGGATATACAGAGCACTTTCAACCCAGAAATTTGTCTCACGACTTGGGGATCCTTACTTAAATTGTAGCTGTTAGTAATTTCATCCATGAATTCACTTTGTGCCATAGTGTGACGTTTTTTATAAAGTTGGAATTGGGAAGGGAAACTAGGAAGTTTTGAGGGAAGTTAAGAAGGTTGAGTAGGCAGGTGTATAGATACTAAATTTCACCCTCCTTATCAGAGTACCTGGAGGGTATGGTATCCAAGCTGTATATGACCCAAAGGAATCGGAGTTCTCAGCCATCCAAAAGAAGCATGCACAGGGTCAGTTGCTTTATGTCAGGAAAGGGACACAGACTGAGTGTATGAGGGTTTTGTTGTTGTTTAAATTTGGCTTTGTGGGGGGACGAACAGCGTGACAATTAAAGAAGATCTAGGAATCGTAAGTACTGACAGAATAGCTGGAGGGGAGGTGAGACTGGAGAATAGTTTGTGAAACAGATCCTGCTGAGGATGAATCCAGAACTTCCTGAAGGGTTCCGCTTCTGCTGTGTAGGGACAGGGTTGTAAATAGACAAGCCACAGGGCACTTGCAACTGGTAAGTGTGGTAGAGAGGGGCTGGAATTGTCTGTTGGTGTATCTGTGGGAAGTAGCTGCTATCCATGAGGAAGAAAAGATGGAGAAGGTAAGTGGCTATCAACCTGTCAGAAACAACACATTCTGTGAAATTGTATTCTTTCATTTCTGACACTGTGGTTCTTAATATCTGTCCTAAACCTGGCAGTCATTGAAGTTCACAAAGTATCTTCTATGTGACAGTAAAACTGGGATTACTATCAGAATGGAATCCATTCCTGCCAGAGTAAAACCATAAAAAGAAATCGTAGTTTTGATTATCTGCTTATCATTTTTAATAGATCATGGAGTTCAATGTTCCTTATTTAATCAAGTTGATAAATAACTTGATTACTATCCTTTAATGTTCTATTTCACACAGTTCTCTCAATTACATGTGAAAAATCTGTAATATAAGTAATGCTATTTAATGATTAAAATGGATATATGTTTTAAGGAAGTGCCACCCAGTCTTTTTTATTTTGTAGAATAATAATATTATCTGTTGGTTGCCTGCCTTGAAGTAAAATAATTTTCCTGTTTCCATTATTTAAAATAGGTGGGTGTCTTTGACGAAGATATAAAGAAAGGGCACGGTTATGAAAGGGAAGAAAAGATAGATGATAGAGATGAAAAGAAATTCAGTAGTTTCAGCAAGGGAATTAGGAGCATAATCTTTGAGAAAAGTCTTGGTTGCTTACCATTCGGGCTTTGTGATGAGTTGAAATATCCTGAGTGAGAACTGTTCTCAAATGCTTTCAAGACCAACAAAAAGTTATGATACCCACACTGACCTGGAACTCTTTCAACCATTAAGATATATCACTTTTTCATAGTTCAGTCCATATTTTTTGCAACATGTTCTGATTAGTTTTTCTGCTAAGAAATTTCTGCTGTTTCTGAAGAAGTATAAGTGTCGTATGCTTTCATTGTAATTTTTTTTTCCCTAATGTATACTGTTCTCCTAATTAGACTATAAATTCCTCCAAGGCTGGGACCTTGTTTTGTTTTCCCGCCTTCCCCTTAAGAAATATCATTTAAGTGAATGTTGTAAAAGTTACTTCATTTAAATTGCCCTTAAAATGCTTTATGACAAATACTTATTTGTAATCATACCTATAATGGTAAAAAGTTTGTTGCAGTCTTACATACAATAAGATTGATCAATTGTTATATATGCTTAGTGGAATTTTATCTAGCTCTTAAAGAGTCATTAGACTAGTCTTTCTAATGGAAATGTTTATTGTCTAAGTTAAAACAGCATTTTAGGCTGGGCACAGTGGCTCACTCCTGTTATTGCAGCACTTTGGGAGGCTGAGGCAGGAGGATCACTAGAGCACAAGAGTTAGAGACTAGCCTAGGCAATATAGAGAGACCTCTTCTCTAAAAAAATTTAAAAATTACCTGAGTGTGATGGTGTGTGCCCACAGTTCCAGCTACTCAGGAGGCTGAGGTGGAAGGATCACTTGGACCCAAGAGGTAGACATTGCAGTAAACCAAGATCATGCCACTGCACTCCAGCCTGGGCCACAGAGCAAGATCCTGTCTCAAAAAATTAAAAAGCATTTTATAGACTGCATGTTTGTGTCCCCTCTCCCTCCACACCAAAATTCTTATATTGAAACCCTAATCTCCAATGACATGATATTAGTAGATGGGGCCTTTGGGGGGTGATTAAATAATGAGGGCGAAGCCCTCCATGGAATTAGTGCCTTTACAACAAGAGACACTAGACAGCTTGCTTCCCCTCTTTCTTTGCTCTTCACCATGTGAGGACACAGCAAGAAAACAGACAACTACAAATCAGGAAGAGGGCCTGATTTGTGCCAACCATGCTGGCACTCTTCTCTGACTGCCCAGCCTCCAGAACTGTGAGAAATAAATTTCTGTTGTTTAAGTCACCCAGTTTATGGTAGTTTGGTTTTAATGCAAAGAGTGATAATATATATTTTTAAATCTACTTTGGTAATTTGTTAATTGGAGTAAAGAGTCTGCTTACATGTTACATAATTACTAACATATTTGGATTTAAGTTTGTCATTATTCTTATTTTATCTGTCCCGCCTCTCCTATTTTCATTTTCTCTCTTTTGCTTTTTTGATTTTTTTTTTTCCCTTAGGCCATAGCACCTGATATTCCCAGGCAGACTCTCATCCAAGTGCCAATCAGCCCCAACCTTACTTAGCTTCCCAGATCAGATGAGAACAAGCATATTCAGGGTGGTATGGATATAGACCTTTTAGATTATTTTTAATTATTCCATTTTTTCCACCTCATAAGCTTGACAGGTATCTTTTAGTATCTTTTTACTGTTCACCTCAGGTATTAAAACATGGAACCTTGGTTTATCATCTTTAAGATAATTTGGTATTATACTTCTTCCGGGACAATGAAAGGACCTGAGAACACATCAACTTCATTTACTGCCCTACCTCATGTTATATACATTATATATTCTTGATATGTATTTCCTAAATTCTCAAGACTTTTTTTTATACAGTATGAATTTACATTTCCCAAACATTAACTTTTTCTCTTGTGTTTTGTGGTTCCTGGATTCTGAGCTTCCATCTAAGATCTTTTTTCTTCTTGAAGGACGTACTTTCATATTTCTTTGACTGTCTACTGGTAGCAATTCCATTCAGATTTTCTGTCCTGAAACTGTCTTATTTTACTTTTATTTTTTAAGAACCTTTTTGCTGAATTAGCAGCTATTTTATCATTTTGGAGATATATTTTATTCCTTCTGGTTTCCATTATGTCCTCTGAGACATGATGTCCATTTTTTTTTTTTCTCTTCAAAGTATATGCCACAGTATAATCTCTTTTTTTGAATGGCTACTTTTAAGAGGTTTGTCTTAAGTTTGATGTGCCCACATGTGTTTTGTGTTTGTTTGTGTGTTTGTTTGTGTGTGTGTGTGTGTGTGTGTGTGTGTTTTTCCCTCTTTGAGATTTGTAATGTTTCTTGAATCTGGATGTGATGTCCTTAGGCTGTTTGAGAAAATTCTTAGGTATGTTTCATCAGACATTGCTTCTGCCTTCACTCTCCTTTCTCCTCTTCTTTTGATATTCCCCTTACATGTGTATTTGAGAGTTCACTTTGTCCCTTGTATCCATTTATTTTCCTATCTGTTTCATCCTGGATATTTCTTCTTAACTTTCAGTTCACTATTTTCTTTTAGTAGTCTCTAATCTGTTAAAAAAAAAAAATCTCTCTTGAAGCATTTATTTTAGTTATATTTTTGGTTATCAGTTCAAACATTTCTACTTGATTCTGTTTTATTGTTTCCAGTTGTTTACCCAATATCTCATCTTTTATTTTCTCAAACATACTAATCATAATTACTTTAAAACCTGTATCTAATAACTATGGTGTCTGCTATTATCTGACACTTTTCTTGTTGTTGTTACCACATTTTCTTGTTTTTATGTCCCTTATTTTTATGTTATTTTATATTATTTATTTTATAAACATTATAAATATATAAAACTTGGTTTAGGCTATGCTTTAATTGAATGTCAGAATTGTTTTGATTGAATTGTTTATGGGGAAACTATACTTTGAAGTCCAATATGATGGTGTTTTCTAAAGAAAGAATTCATGTCTCCTGGAAAGACCTTTGGACACTAGTAATCCAAGATCATCTTAATCCAGTTAGTGATAGAGACAATTAGAATATAGGCAGGTCTACTTACTGTTCATACTTTCTCTCAGAATGTAGACCTCTAAAGTTCTAACCCAAGCATGCAGAGTTTACCAGACCAGGCCCTAAACTTCAGTTTTTGTCTTTTTAATTCTATGGGTGAGAAACTCTGTTCAACTTTTCAGCCATCATCTCAGGAATCAGAAGATACTCCAGAGGAAAAGCTAATATAAATGCTGGATTCAACAACTCTGTTTTTTCCTTCTGAATACTTTATTGTCTCTAACGCTCTCAGATGTTTGTTTTATATTTTGTCCAAGCTGAGTGTGGTAGCTCACGTCTGTAATTTCAGCACGTTGGGAGGCCAAGGCAGGAGCATCCCTTGAGGCCAGGAATGTGAGACTAGCCTGGGCAACATAATGAGACCTTTGTCTCTTGGAAAAAGTAAATAAATAAATAAATATTAGAAGTGAAAATGGGGACATTGTTACAAATGCTGTAGAGATTGGTGAGAAATTACGAACAACTTTATAATGGGAAAATATCAATGAAGTAGACAGTTCCAGAAAAATGTAACTTTTCAAAAGCTAACAAGTAATGGAAAATATAAATGGTGGGATGTTGATGTAAGAAATCATGATGCCCAGAGACTTTTGTGAAACCTTCAAAGGACAGATCATTTCAATTTTACACAAACCATTCCACAGTATATTCTACTTCCATACATAGTATATTCCACTTATATACTGTGGAATTAGCCCTTACTGCCCTTATCAAATTTAACATCAAGGTCACAGAAGCCTAATAAAATGATTTTATTAGGGCAGTAATGATTTGATAAGGGCAGTAAGAATTAGAACCCTGTCATATTCACAAAGACAAAAATCCTGAATAAAACAGACCTCAGAAAATTTGTTTTTAAGACAAGACAATAAAACACGATCAGGTTGGATTTAACCCAGGAATGTATTTTATTAAAAGATTAGAAAAAGTATCTGGCTATCTAAACAGATGCGGGAAAAGAAAACTATTTGCAAAAATTAACAGACATGGATAAACCTTTGGGCAAATTAGAATTGTGTAGAACTTCCTTAAGCTAATAAAACTACAGCAACAATATTTTAAGATGAAGTATTTGAAGCAGTCCATTAGAATCAGGAACAGGTGCTATGTTGGAGATCCTAGCCAGCATTATAAGGCAAGAAAAATAAAAGATTAAAAATTGGAAATAAACATAACTTAGTCTACAGATAAATTATTTAAGAGCTTTGCAAGGATTCTGAATATACTATTGATATGGTGTGGATCTGTGTCCCTACCCAAATCTCATGTTGAATTGTAATCCCCAATGTTGGAGGTGAGGCCTGGTGGGAGATTGGATCATGGGAATAGGTTTCTCATTAGTGGTTTAGTACCATCCTCTTGGTACTAAATAGTTCTGAGGACTAAAATAGTTCTCAGGAGATCTGGTAATTTAGAATTGTGTGGTAGCTCTCCCCGTCTCTTGCTCTTATTCCCCCTTTGCCTTCCACCATGATTGGAAGCTTCCTGAAGCTGCCTCAGAAGCAGAAGCCACTGTGCTTCCTGTACAGCTTGCAGAACCATGAGCCAATTAAACCCCTTTTCTTTATAAATTAGTCTTCAGTATGTATAGCAGTGTGAAAACAGACTGATAGGACTATCAATATACAAAAGTGAATTGCATTTCTCTCCAGCAGAAACGAACTGTTAGAAAATGATTTTTGTAACATACCATTTACTATATTGCTTTGAAAATATAAATTATCTATAGGTAATTAACAAAAGGTATAGAAGACCTCTGTAGAAAATTACAAAACTATTGGCAGACATTTAAAAATATCTAATTTTAAAATTGCTGTATTCAATTATTAAAAGACTCGAGTTAAGATGGCAATGCTCCCCTACACAATGAAGATAATTGCAATAGAAATCCCAAATGAGTTTATCAAGGAGCTTGACAAACTGATTCTAAAGTCTCTATGACAAAGAGCAGAATTCAGGATATTCCAGAAGCAAATTTAAGATGGAATTGACTTGTAGATATTCATAACAGCAAAAACATAAAAACAACTCAAATAGCCATCAAAAGATAAAATGTTTATCCATGAAAAGATACTCAAAAAGTGACGTATTTATATAATGGGATATATTTGGCCGCAAAAGGAATGAAGTACTAATACCTGCTGGAATGTGGGTAAACCTTGAAAGCATGCTGAAATGAAGCCAGTCACAAAAGACCACGTATGATTCCATTTAAATAAAATGTATAAAGTAGGAAATGTATTGAGACAATAGATTGTGGTTGTTTAGGGCTTGCAAAGTTTGGGGTGATGGGGGCCCAAGGTAGTGATAGCTAAAGGGTGCGGTTTCTTTTTGAGGCAATAAAGTTCTAAAATGTGTAGTTGCACGTTTCTGTAGATATACT